ATTATGTACAAGTTTATAAGTTATTTATACATATCTAATATGCATGGTAGAAAAAGTATTTTTGGATGGTTGAGTCTGTGTGCGTTTTTTGATAACATGGCTCCAAACTATTAAAGCTTCAAAGGCCCATCTACAGGATGCAAGTTGAACGTACTGTATATACGATGATTTTAATGCGAAATGCCAGTTTAGAGAGTCTAGATTTTAAAAAATTTCTGAAGAGGATGCAACCCGATCCCCAACAAGCTATCTGTATGAACGATTGAAAAGCTACAGAGCTATAGCCTATTTGGTGGAACATTGTTGTTTCGGAGGGCAGTTAAAAATTGCATTATTTATTACATATTAATCAAAGCTCATTTTGTGATTTTCCTTTGTTTAAAATAAAGGGACAGTAAGTGTTCCTTAGGCTTAGTACAGCAAAGTTGTCGTGGACGAATCCATGGCTGAAAACGCTGGAAATAGCATTTCTGAGGTTCAAATTTTAAAATTTTCTCGGGGGAGCATGACTCTCCAAGGTTACAGGACATTCATATACTGTACCCTCCCCCCATTTTCGAGTACTCTACTCTATCCGTGCATGTTTTAGGTTTTGGTACAGTTATACATTTTTTGTAAGTAAACCTGCACGCTTTAGTGTGGCGAACATTAAGACATAACCATATAAAATAAAGCACAGTGAAAATTCCTTGGCCCCTCTTGGGATTCAGTTCTCGGCCTCCTCTGACTGAAAACGTCAGAGGTCTCTGATGATAGCTATATGAAAGCCTTAAGTTACTGTAAGCCGTTATTATGAGAGGCAAAAAAATAGCCTGCCGCCAAATATATTGGGAAAAAATATCTTGCGCTGCACTTTTGCAGGAAAAAAAATATCTGTCTTGTTCGCCTGGGCGGAAAAAAAATCTTGCAGGGACTGAATCTTCCACCCCCCCCCCAAAAAAAAAAAGTCAAATGGTCCGCCCCTAAATGACCGTCCTACGTGTGATGTACATTAGGACTGGCGCAGAAAATCGCGTGTAAATGTAAAAATGTAAACAAGCAAACGAGAAAACAAAGGATTTAAATGCTAATAATTATGTTTCGTTAATTAAAATTTGAAATATTATTTAATAAGTTATGTCACATGTAATAGCTTGTGTTGTTTGTTACTGAATGCGTGGGAGGTATGGAAAACTTTCTTCTTGACATTGCAAATATGCATGTTCCACTTCTGATTCGGAAAGTCAAAAGTGAGCACTGTCCTTGGATGACAAACGAAGTAAAAAACCTTGCACATCATAAATTCTGCTAGAAACAAAAATCAGCCAAATTTAACTCCTCTAATTACCAGGAAGCTTATAAACGTTGTAGAAATTAACTTAACAAAAGAATCAAAGCAACTAAGGTTCAATTTTACAACACTATACTACAAAACAGTGAAAATAGTGAATAAGGTTGGAATACATTAAATAATCTGCTTAACAGGAAATCCAAAACCACAATTGTTAATGAACTTAGCGCAGACCATTGAAAAAATGTAACACAAGATAAAGATATAGTCGACGAGTTTAATAAATTATTCACTTCTATTGGTCCCAAATTAGCAATTAACATTGCTGACAATGGCAGTAGTCCTGATCCTTTGTCATATATAGATCAAGTCACAAATATATTTCACTTTCATAGCATATCAAGTTATGAGCTGAAAGGAGAAATACAAAATATGCAAGGTCTAGATAAGATCGCAACTAAGCTAATAAAACAGGCAGGTGATACAATAACTGAATCACTTCTAGAGGTGTTTAACCTATCTCTTAGGACAGGAATATTTCCAGATGATTGGAAATTTGCCAAAGTGACTCCAAAATATAAGTCAGAAGACAAAATCTTATGTGAAAACTATAGACCGATAAGTCTGTAGACAATGAAATACCTTTCTGGATAATAACAACATAATTGTAAAAAATCAATCGGGTTTCCGTCGCAATCACTCAACCGAAACCTCGTTACTACAATCTACTGAAATGTGGTTGAAATCAATGGACCAGGGTCAAATTAATGGGGTTATATTCTTAGACCTGAAAAAAGCATTTGATACGATTGAAAAAGAAAAAAAGCATTAAAAGCATTTGATCACCAGATTCTATTGTCAAAACTACAAGCTTATGGGATACGCGACCACACGTTGAAATGGTTCCAATCGTATTTGGATCAAAGAAAGAAAATTTGCATGTTAAATAACTGTAAATCTGATATTGAAAAGTATCTAGTATCAGCTTTTATTGCTAAAATTGGTATCTATTTCACTTGAAAAATGAACGAAACGATTGTTGAGGAAAAGACATGAATTTTGAACTCGATTTTGACAACATTTTTTCTTTTCTGTCAAAGTGCGGACGTGTTTAAAATAATGTTTTCTCCTCGTTGAAATAGATTGAGATAAATTTGAACACAAATTTGTCTCACGTAAAATTTAACGGTGCTTTTTCGTGCTTTTCTCATAAAACGGAGATATCTTCCATGCAGCCTATATAATTTTCCGTATACACTCTTACACTGTAACTGCAATGTCAACGACTGCAGTCACACAAAAAAAGATTCACGCTGACTATTTTTGAATGTCGGCGGCAGATATATCAATAATAGAAATAAAATCAATTGAAAAACACTTTACAATGAACTTTCATTAGATTCCAAGCACGCCGGCTGATTAACACAAATTAAAACGGCTATATATATTTAAATAAGTTTTCAAATTGTATAGTTGTTTTTTTCAAATTCTAGTTGTTTTAAATGCATGCATGGTCAATTTCGGGCTATATGATTATTGAAAATAGTAGCCAAGCAATGTCAGAATATTCTTACTGTGAAAATATTTATCCTACCTTCGCACTATGAAGTAAAATATCCCATATATTTCATACTAATTTTTTCGTGTTTGGATTATGGCCACATTCGATCAGTTCGATTCCTTTTCAAATTTTTATTCCGTTTATGATGAATCTTTAAAGCCCTTTTTCCTTCATCAGATATACAGAAAATAATCAAAAAATGTCTTCAAACCATCAATTTGTTTAGGAATGCAGAAAATATTTTTTTACTTTAGTTTTTTCAGCTCTTTTTTGCATAAACTTTCCAATTCCATTTTTATTTACATTATAAATTAATGTATATGGGGGGGGTACGCGCATCACACAAAGATCAGGGGCGCTATCTCCGTTTCGCCGCCCGTGTTCTACAGCGCCCTGCATCAACAAAGCATGCTTATCGACATGTATACGCTACGGTACTTGGAAATATATCGATTGTTAGAATAATATGAAAAAGATCCGTGCGTATTCCCACACGAACATGTGGCAAACAATTATTTTAGCAATTACAGTAAAATAGTTGATCTGTGGCCTTAACCTGTGAGTGTTTTGATTGCAACGGTTGTCCATTCGGGATTTCTATTGACTCCTTGGGCTTCACCAGCATATACTTTGCCAAATTCTCCTCTACCGATGGTACCACCAAATCGTATTGAACCAGCAGGCATCTCAAAAGAACCTACTTTTTCCATTATATATCCTGGTATCTCGTAAACATAATCTTGGGGAACATATATTAAATTCACTACTTTTTCACTGTTGTCATCTTCCAGCATATCCTGGTCAATACTAACACAAAAAATACAGAAATTAGAGTGCTTGCCGGATTTTAATTATTACCACTAAATTAAACATTATTTATTATATGGCAAGTATTTGTTTGATGAATAGCGCAATTTGACTTGTTACTGACGAGGCAGGATTTTCCCGTATCGCCCACGGGCAATGCACATTTTTTTTTGCCCTACGAACCTGGTCCAACAGTCTTTCAAACTATTCAAAACGAAGAAAAATGTACTTAAAATAGATAAAAGGAGCAACTGCTGTGGTTATAGTCTGCTCGTAGACTGCATCCCGCTCCCCCACGGGATTACAGTCTGCTGTCATTCGATGCTAATGCCGTACAGCTACCGGCGAGATATGATCGGCAGTTTTTCATTGGTTTGTTTCAAAATTATACTTGCATAAATTTGCTTAGCTAATTTCGAGACGAGTATACCGGTTTTACCGATTACATAAAGTTTCTGGTTGCTGTTGGGCAGACATTTCCACACAAAAGAGCATTTAACTTTTTGGGATGAATAAATTTGGTAGAATTTACAAATCTGGCATATTTTTTTGCGAGTTTAATATGTTACGATTTCGTTGTATTGTTTTGCTTGACCTTGTCTATTGTCTATTGACCTTGTTTACATAATATAAAGTTCTATTTAAAGTAACGCACCTGATTGGATAATAAAATTAGGAAGCCACTAAAGTGCTGAAGTGCACAATATTATATCTATTTATACGACTACGTCACTGTACAGGCATTAGTGACAAATGGTCGCAGACTGTTATCCTTCCACCCCGGGGGGAGACAGTCTATGCGAAGACTACTTTGGTTAAAGAACCTTTTCAATATGTTTTTGTTAGCGAAAGTTGAAATTGCAAGGTAGATTTTACCATGTTTATAGCTATTAATCTAAAGCAATCAAGAAAAAAAGTTGTCTTCCTGGGAGCACAACCTGGAATCAAAAATTTCCTGCAGACCAACGGAGTATTTTTGTGTTAAATCTGCATTGGTATAAACATATAGTGTTCCATGTAAAACCAAATTGGTTGAAATGACCAATTTAAATTGGTTGTTTCATGCAGACGCATTAATTTAACCAATTTTTATTGGTTAAAACAAATGGTTAAAACAACCTATATTATGGTTGTTTTGACCAAACAAAATTGGTCAAAGAGAGATGCATCTGAGACAACCAATTTTAAATTGGTCATTTCAACCAATCTGTTTTTACAGTCGGCTATACATGCGTATTAATTTAGTATTAAAGCGACCATGCCTATTTCATCCTTATTGCCTACAGTATTTAATTATTAAAACTATGAATTGTACGAACAAAACAATTTATTTGCTTATTTTAACACAATAATAAGTCGACAAAGGTGATAGAACTGAACTGATTTGTAGCAACGCGACATTTGTATGTTTCAGCCAGATAGACATTATGCAATCATCTTGATAATTAAGCATGGTGCAAAATAATTTTATTCATCTCTTAGTTCAATTTTCTCCCGGCACTTTTGCGATGACGTGCAATTAGTTTTCAAACCTACTGTAAAATTGTCATAGACTATTATGTTGTTCGAAGAATTGTAAATCGAAGCAGCTGAATGTAAATTTCTCAGTTAAAAAATCTAATAATTTTATATGTTCAAATACTTACAAGCGTTCAGGATTGCTTCTGCTTCCGATGCCAAAAGCTATTGCCATTTCTCTTTCCATAAAACGCATTCGCCTCTCGTGGCGTTTACGTAGCCAAACAAAGATACAAATAGCAATCAGAATTACAAGTGTTGGGATCAGAACAGCAGCAACTATAACTCCATTGAGATCGTCTGTTACCCCATGATCGCTCTCCACCACAGAGTCTGAATTATATAGGATTTGTAGGGATAGTAGAGGATATTTAGTGGT